GGCTTCCCCGCTGCTTGTGTAACCTAACTATTGAGGCAAGAGCTGTCACCGCCTCTACTCTGTGTTAGAGGTGTGAGCTCTGTGGATGGTTTGGGCCAATGGCAATGCGCCATTGGTCCAAGCTGTCCAATCAAAAAAAAAAGAAAACAAATACACTCAGGACATCGATCTCGATGCCTCGCCAGTGATGAGCAAGTGAAGGACAGGTAGGCTCCTCCCTTCTCCCTCCTCCATACAGCTATACAGCTGTTTTCATCTTATTATTATTATACGGGATTTATATGCCACCAACTGTGTGTGCAGCGCTTTACAGTATAAGGAAGACATAACAATTCAAGACAAGATGGTGAGGAGGGCCCGGCCCCTGAGGGCTTACAATCTAAAAGGGGAGGGGCCAGTGATGCATGAGGAGGGAGCTGTGTGGGGGATGAATGGTTAGGGTGGGGGATGGAAGACAGATGGGGGATGCAGACACGGAGCGGTTGGTACGGTGAATGAGTCTAGTAGCTGCATTCATGATAGACTGAAAGGGGGGAGGAGCCTGTGTAGAGGTCAGCCAATGAGGAGGGAGTAGCACTTGTCCTGCGTCTGTCTGAAACTGGAGCATCACCTAAGAAAACAATCCCCACATAACAAGTCCCCGTGACCACTTCTTCAAGAAGCGACAGTTCAGCTTTTTGCCCGGAGTGACGAGTCTTCTTTCCTGGAGTCTAATAAACCTCATTTATCAACAACATCGCACCGGCGTCCTAAATCTGCCGCCAATATATTCCGTGCGACTTCCAACACTCGCCATCGCTGTGATAAATCCCCCCCACTGTGTTATGGGGGCCAGGAATCGCCCCCTTCGTCAGGGCTACACAGGTACAACAGAAGAATATATGTACAAATGAGATGTTTATGGAAATGTCTGGAATCTAGAAATAACCCTCAAGTATGGAATTCAATACCCGGCGGCGCTGCGCTTCATTCCCGCTGGCGTCATTCCATCACCGAGAGCGTCTCTGATATGATTCCGGCCGAGTCGCGGCAATTCCATTATCTTTTCTTTCTTTTATTGGCGCTGGTTAATATTTTCTTCTGTTGTATCTTTGTAGCCGGTTCTGGCCCCCGGAATATGTTGTCTCCGAGACTTTTAGTTTCATCTTCATATTTGAATACATTTATATTTATGGGCGATTTTAAAGGAGAACTATGAGGGGGGAGGGGCTTCTCACTCACCTCATAGTTTGGGGCACGGTGTGGCGCTTCAATCTCGGATCCATTTAGTTACATACTGGCGCGGAGAAGCTGCCAGACCAGAATCCAGGTACCACAACGACCGCTATACTAATAGAGCGCTCCGGGGTTCCAGGTCTGTCCTTATTCTCAATTCTTGTGATCCAGACAACACGGTCAGATCTTGGGCCTCCCTGAAGAATACACTGCAGGTTTGACATGCAGCCTGCTCTAGGACCCACCCCCACCCTGGGATTGGGCAGTGAGGGGGAATGCAGCCTGGAACCGCCCCGCCGCCCTCTGAATGAAGCCCTTCAAGCCTTGACTGTTCTCTTGATTTCTGCAGGTGACCGTTTCCGGAGCATCATCGATGACGCCTGGTGGTTTGGGACGGTGGAGAGTCAGCAGCCGTTTCAGATGGAATATCCGGACAGCCTCTTCCAGTGCTACAGCGTCCAGTAAGTCACCTGACTGACACCTCATAGCCCAGTGTTAGAGTTCTAGCCACATGCAGGCTGTGCCATCACTGTGTGACCACTTTTATTAGATCCACCAATCTGGTATCAGGTGTAGGACCATTTTATCCTCCCAAAATGACTGACATTCTTGGCATCAATTCAACAGTGTAAACTTTATTAGTCTATGCTGCCTGGATAACACATTTTGGTGGTCATATGTTCAGGGCAAAGTATGGGGCCGTCACAGATCGGGGGGCAGCGTATGGGGCCGTCGGAGATCTGGGGGCTACGTAAGGGGCAGTCGGCGATCTGGGGGCAGCATATGGTGCCGTTGCTGATCTGGGGGCAGCGTATGGGGCCGTCTGAGATCTGGGGGCAGCATATGGGGCCGTCT